TTACACACGATAGTTTATCTGGGGTGATTTAGTTTGTGTCACGATAAGGAAAGAAGCAAAAATTAACCTACCGATGTTGAAGATAGGTATACTTGGAAAAATATATTGTGTGCTTATAATGTGGTTCGTGGCTGGAAAGAAGGTCATCGGAAGGAATATTTTCGTGGTTAACCAAGTTGGTCATATGTACAAATTTATCATTTACAGTTACAAGTCAAAGGAAGAGCAAGTAGAACATGTCGCTCGCTTCTCTTGCTACCCATCATTCCAGCCACGAACAGTATCTTCGATGGTGCGAAGTAAAACATCGAAATTTCTGTTATGTCGCGCTTCCACTTCACAGCCTATCACAACAATACGAGTTATTTTTTGAAATAATCGTTTCGGTATATCCATTTTTACGTCAATAATTTCCAACTTGTTAAAACTCGATCGTCGTTTTTGTGCTGCATACCGTGGCTGCTAAACGCTCTAGAAAATATCAATATAAAAATATAATAAACACTTCATCAAATATAATAATCATCGATCTTCTCTAAATATGCTGTCGTGTTCTCTGGAAATATGAACTCGTTCAGTAAGTTTGACAATGCTGCGGGCGAAGTAAAGTGCCCTGGAGATCTGGTTTTCAGACTGCTAATAAAATTTGAAAACGTTTCATTTCGCTTGACGCGATAGAAACGCGTTTCTAAGACGAAAGGGTGTTCGTCAGGCTTTTGAATAGTTGTTGTTCCAGAGACTTCCAGAGGGATCATTCGTCTTGGAGCCCCTCGAGGCAAGCAAAGAGGCAGTTTAGTGGTCAATAACTAAATTACTGTGACCACATCGTTTAGCAGATTTGGCGAGGTACGAGCGAGGGGACCAAAAACAGGCGAACCACAACAACCGAATCCTAACAGGATTTTTCTGTGGCAGTAAGAGTCACGCAGCTATCGTTTCGCACATTCCTCCGCCGTTCTACCGAAGAACGGGAACTGTTCCACCGAAAATCGAATTTTATTTCACTCGCTAATAAAAGGTAATATATTGGGTTGGCAACTAAGTGATTGCGGATTTTGCCGTTACCACCTAATGACTTAGTTGGCAATCACTTAGTTGCTAACCCAATAGGTCGTTTTCAATTAGACAATTACTTTATTTGCCAATCTTCGTGAATCCAAGCCTCGATATCGTACGCTAAAGTATCTTAATACATATCCTGTAAAAATATACATTGTATATTCATTTTTGCGTTCGTTTTTTATGATAGAAAAATCTAGCCATTTTGACTGGCAAATCGGAGAAAATGCACTAAGGGATTAAATTCGCTACTCCTTTGAAACATAGTCGTAGCAACTGTCAATCTTTAGTCCACAATGTAAAGACAACAGTTCAAGTACAATAGACCACGATTCATTTTTTCAATGCAATTGAATATTTGAACGGCCCCGTAAGAAATGTCAACCATAACTTGATCACGATCGATCGAGGGCGTTAAGCAACCTTTCGCTTCGCTTTCACGATCTACGCTTAACCGGGATGCGAGTTCACACTGTAGGCGAAGCTATCGGTTAAACGTTGAATAAAAAATGAGCTGCCGTAAACTATGTCTTATCTAATAACTATGTCATATCTTCGTAATTCGTACCGTGAAACACACTGCGTTTATAGCAATCTTTAAGCTCTGATATCACACGGCGAGGAAACTTCCGAACGTTTAAATTTCTTGGCTCGTTTAAATATTAATTGGTTAACTTATTAATTTATTGCCTGAACTATGTGATATGCTACTTATGTTATCTGGACGTTCATATCTATAAACCTAACTATTATTTAGAAGACGACAGGACCGAGGTAGAAAAGTACAACGTTTTAAGATCGATACTCCAGAACTTGTTCCTGAGGGGTAGCTAGGCATCGATCTGTTGTTATGTACCTTGCTCTGTCGAGAGAACCGCACGCGAGGAGTCTCCGTTGCAAGAAAGAATTTGCATCGGGCTCGTTGCCTTCTTTCTTCCTTTCCGCCAGTTCGATTTGCACGCGTGACTCACGCTCGTGAACATACTTTGAAGGTAAATCTCTTTTGTGGCCTTTATCGTCCTAAAAATACAACCGAATACCAAAATTGTTCGCGATCAGATGCCAATTTACTCTTAAACACCAGTTCGACTCACGTTTCTTCGTTCGAACGCTTCTTGACTCTCCTGAGCGTTCATTCAGGTCATTTTCGACCGAATAACATGTTTCCGCTGTTGGAGAATTTCTCGAGTTTGAGGAAAATGCGCAGGAATCTTCGATGACGTGCATGATTTCCTTTCAATTTTATACGATAAATTGAATACCGATGAACGGGTAGCTCCGCTTTCAGCTAATTCCAGCCAATTAAAATCCAAGCAAAAATTAAATCTCAAACGTGCCATAAATTCGTAGCCAACTAATTCGTAGATACTAAGCTTTCTTTCTCTTTCGACAAATACGATTTAATTTACTGTCAGTATAACGAACTTTTACCAAAATGATCGCGTCGACAGCAGCGAAATCAGCATAATTTTGCAAGAAAAGCTCGTATACGTCACAAGATGATCGATTGTTTTCGTTTCCTTGACGTAGCTACTCGGAAAGAATTTAAGTGGCAGCGGAGTGCGTGCACGCAACCAAATGAAATTGATGATCCGCACTTAGCAGAGACACTGGCCCGAGAAACCTTCGCGTGAGTCCTCGATAGTAACCGAGGAATTACATACCTAGCAAATTGTTTTTTCTTCGGTTTATACGGATCTTCGCGTCCAGCACCACCTTCAGCGTGCAAAACATACTTCCAACGATCTTCGAAATGATCCTCCATTTTTTTTGTTCTCCATGTTATTGAACTATTACGGTGTCTTTCGATTACCGACACCTCACGTAAGAGGAAAAACTAGCTAAACAGTACCTGCGTTTCGCTAAATCGAGCTAGAGTCGAACTAAATGTACGAAGAACAGGAAACGCTCGCATTCGCCACGCAAACGTCCCGCGTTTCCAGCGTATCCGCTCCACCGCTGTGCCGCGGATTTTCCCATGAACGACACCGTTTTGAACGTACGCCTTCCAATTGCTAATTATCTGACAACGACAGAAAATAAAGAGCATCTGACACGGGTCGACGCACTGTGCGTAAGACTTGCGCTATGATTTTGGAGTGAAAATGGGAAATTATGGCAGATCGATCGAGGAAACAACGGTATATTGCTAGTGAAAAGAGAACGCACGAGATAGTAAGAAACGTTGATTCGAATGTCTCGCTCCGACGGAAGTTAAATCGTAGCAGGAAATGTTTGAAAACTAACCAAGACTTTTGTGCAAAAGGAGCGTCGAACTGGAGATATCAGGACTAAGTATAACAAGCAGACGGAAAGGATTTTTACAAGCGCGCTTTCGATTGCGCCGAATCTGTGAAAGACGATCAAACGAGTGCCGCGTTCCTCCGTAGCCTCCAAGTGGATTTAAAACTTGTTTCCAGGGAACTACACAAACATTCCCGTTTCCCGGCACAAACCCGCGTCAAAATCTGTCTGTAACATCGTACTAATCGTCTGTAGAGGACTAGTATATAGGATGTTTGATCGTGAGCTTTATTAGATGTTATTCCTTATTGTCGAAACCGTCGAATATATTTAAAATAATAAATAAATATACAGATTGTATTCGCCGAGTCGCTTGTACAAATCGCAAAGTAAAATTGCTAATTAATACTCAAAAAATACTCGCTAGATACTCGTCGATAACTCGATAGCTCGATAACTCGTGATAACACCTAGATAGCTCGTTGATACTGAACTCTTTTCGGTTATGTCCGTTTATTTTTACTGATCGAGGGGAAATCGGAAAATGCAAATTCGTCTTTGTTCGACATTGTTTTACCCCGAGTTTATTTATTCTTACGTTACATATGTCCTAACGATCTTGATACTCCGAGACAAAACAACAAATTGATTTGAATTGTCCTCTACTCATGTGCCGCTATACGTCTAGAGAAACATCGCGGGATTAAAAAAAATTCTATGTACGATATCGCCCGTCGTTCGTAGACACGCAAAACAATAGGACCAACGATGATCCTCCCTAAAAAATACCTATTGTCCTATATCACACCGAAGCCAGGTGTTGGAAAAACATAGTGCATGTAAGAGCACGATGACGATTGCAAGTATCGAGGCAAGGTAATCGTTGGAATCAGCGATTCCGGAGCGTAGTCGGCATCCGACATCGACATCCGATTCGGGAATTAATCGATCCCGTCTGCGAAAAGGACAAAGGGGAGAGCCTGTGGAAGGTGGAAGGCGAAAAGCGGAAGGCGAAAGGGCGCTTTCTCGGCGTGGGCGACGACGAACGCTAGGTCGAACAGATCGGTGGGCGTCCACCGGTTCGCCCAATTGGTCGATC